AGTTGAAGATATAAAAACCCTGAGGAAATAGGTCATATCCTGTCTTTCCAATGGATTGAATTTTCTCCTTTTGAAATACAATCTGAAAGTCCTCAATGATGATACCCAAATTTTCAGTCATCATCTGATAATGTTTCATGTGATCAAATAAAACTTTTGCTTCATCAAAGGGCCCTTGGTGATAGGTAGCTAACAGCATGTTTTAACCAATTCAAACATTTTTTATTGATTTATTATCAAAAGTGGGGAAAATACTTAGTAAAGCCAAAGCTACTCCCCCGCCCCCCACTTCTCTCTCTCTCAATGCTACTTACTAGATGATTTGACTCATGATCAATCTCTGATGATAAAAACACATCACAGATAAAACATCACAATTTATTTATAGACATTTCAAAATTCATCTGGCTGATGAATGACCCTTACTTTTTTTGCTACACTATAAAATGAATTATCATCTATCATTACCACATTGGTTTTAAATATTCATGTACTGGTGATAACAAATTAGCATGAAAAAAATGTAGCCAGGTGAAATCTCCGAATGACAAAATACCACAAGTGTCATTCATTTGATTTTACCTAAGAAGTGCATTAGCTTTTAATCCCATCGCCCATGGAAACATGTTGTAATCATTGAAGAGGCTAGAAAAATAGGGCCCTCGCTATCCAATTCAATAAATAATTTTTCATCCATAAATCTACCACCCAATTTCCAACAATTTGGAGAAAATTGGTGCTGACTACTTAAAAAACTAATGAGTTCCAAAGTGTATTAGTACTTTTAGAATATCAAAATCTGACAGGAAAAGATAAGTACTGGTCAGCCAGGCAAATGGACTTACGTAGAGATCTGAAGACAGGACAGAGAGAAAGAATGAGGAAAATAATTATCCACATCAGTTGCTGTGATACTTGATGAACATTAACTATACTAATACTAATACTACTACTAATACTAATACTAATAATAATAAAAATAATAATAGGGGAATTGTGTGGGATTTATGTCATGGACGTAATTTTTTTCAAATTTGCAAAAATCACCCAAAAGAAACATTTTTTTAAAAAAGAAATAATAATAATAAATCTAAAAGTAATAATAATAATAAAAAGTTTAACAAGTCTAATAAAACATTTGCCAGCTCTCTATGCATACTACAATAATATCACAAATGATTTATATAATACTCCAACAAAATTATGAAAAATACTTACAGATAAAAGAAACATGAAATAGCACATTTTATGCAGTTCTTGGACTTAGCATACCCCCTACCAGGAACACAGATTGATTTTTTCACTAGATATTTACACGGCTAAGAGAAAAGTGAACATAATTAATTTGTGGCTCTGGTAGAGGGTAGGTTTAAATTAGCTGTATTTCTAGTTTGTTGTGTACTACTGTCTGCCTCGACATGAAAATCGTCACCTTTTTATTTTGTAAACAGAGGATTTCAGAGTCATGTCTGCTTATGAGAGCACAATCTCTTTGCAGAACATCCAAATGCAAGCCTGGTGCAGAACGTGTCACAACCGGCACAATCTCATCTAGCGCAATTACCTCAACTCTTATACATTCAAGATTTCAATGGATTGAATGCCACGGGTCCTATTTGGAAGACGAACTTGCAGCTATAATTTGGCCATATCTTTAGTCCAAAATTTTAGTCTACTTTAATGCTTCTAAATACAGAAGATGCCAGCATATATAAAATATTGTGATCTGCTGACAATTTTTTCATTTAATTATGGCTAAATATAGTTGGGACATAGAGCAGTCTGAGTCTGTCTGACCATTCTGCACATTAATTTTTTTTTTCAATTTTGATATTTGTAATAATGTAAATGAAGTCAAACTGATTTTTGAAAGATTAAAATCGTAATCTGCACTCATTTTCATTATTTTCATTCAAAGCTATGCTTTCAGTGATACAAATTTCTCTGTTTTCTCCTTAATATTTTACTTCACTTTTTTGTTAATTTTTTTCTTACTTTTGGCTGTTCTTTTTCAGATTTTTGCCCTTCAACAATGAGCACACCATGTAAATCAATACAACCGTTCAGTCCACATGGTAAGGGTTAGAATCACACACATGAACGGTCGACTAAGAGTCCTGTCTTTTCTATGTCCAACCCACTGGTCAGCCATTCAGGCTTAATAATGTCCTCTTGGTTAAGCTTTTGGTCAAAGTACAAACTACAAAAAAACCCGTTCTGCTTCACTGACCGAGCTTGTAAAATGTTTTCTCCGGCGCTGGCTCGCCGTGTATACAACCGCACGCCAATATATATGACCACTCTACGTAACTGACTGACCATAGAAAAAAGTTCTTCCGCATGGTTGAGAAGTTATGCAAAAAAATTGATCCCAATGTTGGGTTTGCCAAAGAAAAACATACAGCATTGTTCAAAGCCAAGCTGGCCATATAAAAAAGCCCTTTCTCCTCTTACAATGTTGTTTGTTCAATGGCCGGCTCAATTCAACAACAAGTTTTGCTGGCAATGTGGGCCTGATAAAAATTATGTAACACAGTCGATATTCGGTACGTTTTTGTCACGATGTTGTCCCATAACCAGGCAGCAGGGTGGGGGCTAAAAAATCAACTCTACCTGCGTCTGGTGTGACAAAAGAACTGTTGACCGTGCGTTGGTCTCAACTATCAAGCTGAAATTTTGTATCTGAGTAAACCTGCATTAGTCCAATAGACTATCTGTCAAAAAAAGTTGACCATTTTTTTCTTCTTGTAAAGTAAAAGGATGATATCTGAAAATCTTTGGTGAATGAAATCATCATTACAGACCCAGTACAGTAATTATTCACAACATTTTCATTCAAATTTCAAACATCTTTCTAATTCTGAAATGTTTTTTTTTTTTCAATCTTCTTTTCAGTCACAAAAATATGCTTTCAGACATGATCATGACGAAAATTTCTTAAACATTTTCAAATGTCCTTTTCTGATGTTCTGCTTTTTAAGATATACCATTCTCATATCTGACATATTAAAAGAATCCAACTTTTCAAAAAATTTTACTCAACCATTAAATCATTTACTAACAACATTTTTTAGGAAGGGAGAAGGAGGTAATTAACATATTTCACTTAAGTTTTTTATTGTGACCACATCACTTCTGAAAAAGATGACTCAGTAAAGAAATGCGAGTGAACAAAATGACCAACTTTCTGGACGTAATCCCCATCCCACTCTTATAGCTTAATTAACTAGTAATAAGGATATCTGTTTTTTAAGAAGCTTAACCATGAGGTTGAGTCACTGACCGAACCCTGCCTTGACCACTGGGTAACTTGACCACTAATACCATTCTAAGGGAGTGGAGCTGTCTTTTTTTATAACTGACCAGGGGTATTTTCTGACCACTTCCTCTGTGTGAAGTAATAAACATGGTGACTATTACGTATATATTGTATTATAGATGAGCATAGTTTTTTTTATAACTGACTGGAGATATTTTTTGACCACTTCCTCTGTGTTTGGTAACAAACATGGGGACTATTATGTATATATCCCATTATAGATGAGTGTAGTTCTCTTTTTTATTACTGACCAGGGATATTTTTTTACCATTTCCTCTGTTCTTAGTCATAAACATGGGGGCTATTACGAAACAACAAATCCTCATCAAATATTTTTATCATCCCTGATATAAAAATATAACATAACCAGGGGCGGATCCAGAGATATTTTCTGACAGTCTTCCAAATTATCTTTGTTGAGCCAACCTCCAATTTTTGACCGTCTTCCGACAGAAAAAAATAGATACCCCTCAATGTAAACTTGAAAATCTGACTGTCTTCCGGAAGACCCAGAAGACGGCCTAAATCCGCCCCTGCATAACCACACTTATCCAGAGACGTTATCTTGTTGCAAAAGCATGCTATTTTTCCATGTGAATTAGCAATCTTATAAATAAATTACTTTGTACTACTTAGGAAAAAAAACATGGGCCTTTGCCATAAGGTTCATCTTATTTATCTTATTGTAAACTGCTGTACTCAAGAAGTTATGGACAGGCTTTGATAAAATTTTTCAGGATGGGTCAGAAACTTCGAAGCAATCAGAATTTCAGTGCAGATCCATTTGTTAATATCAAGTAATAATAATAAGAAGAACTGAGCAAGCTTGGTGGAGGCCTGCACTTTTTGGGTGCTTTTCTAGTTCATTATCTTATACATGTATCCTTCTTCTGTTGGCTGCTATAAGGAAGGAAATTTTCAATGAAATGGGTATTTCTTGTCCTTTTTTCAACTTATTTTCCTTATAGATGTAGAATACATAACAACATACACATCTGATGTCACTAATCTAATGGTCAATACTGTAGCCTTATCATTTTGACCACTGGTCACTGATATTTCCACACGCAAACTGAACTACTATCTGGTTTGAATAATATTAAACAATTGAAAAATGGGTAAACAAACTTAACATACAAGATGAGGACTGAGAATGACAAATCCAAACTGATGTTTTCTGAACAGATGACTGCTCTTAAATTACTATCATTAAGCCTACTTGACACATTACACGAATGATAAAATGGTCATCCAAAATGGTCATGTATCAATAAGTCGCTTACTCAGTGATCAAGAATGAGACTAAAAGATTCTAGACAGATATTGGAATCTCTCCCCCCCCCATTCTCTTCCCCTTCTCTCTCTTTCTCTCTCTCTCTCAGCCGCCCCCTCCCCCCCCCTCCTCTCTCTCTCTCTCTCTCTCTCTCTCTGCCTCTTTCTCTCTTTTTCTTGCGTATGCATGAGCTCTCTCTCTCTCTCTCGCTCCCTTGGAGTTTATTTTTGTTCAGAACTTGGGAGGGTGAGGATTTTTTTTAGTACATTTTCATTCATTATTTCTGCATCAAGGCTTTTTTGCCTCGGCAGAACATTTGCTCTCCATCTTATTGCTGCTCAAAGAAATTATCTAAGGACGATCTGGTGCTTAGCGACAGAACTCTTACATAACAGGCTTTATCCTCACCTTGTGTGTTTTTCCTGCAATTGTCCACTTCAACTGTCCACTTCAATGGTCAAAACATAAATATAGCATCCACTAGAACCACTGTCTCACAATATTTCTATAGCTGTAAAATTTACCAGATTCTTTCCTATGTGGTCAGACAGAGTGTATATATGAATGTCGGTCAGTTAGTTAAAAAATTTTTTAAGGCATTTGGGCACCTGCCTCATCACTTGCATATTTTTTCTCTTATCCTCTCTCTAATTTACCAATCACATCACCATTTAGTATTGGTTTTATATTATTAACACATGCAAATGTTTCTAAGCCTGGATGAAACGGCTGGCCCCTTAAGCTCTTCGTGTGTTATTAAAAGCATTAAAACCACAACAATCCATCAGGCAGTTTTTCTTTCAATATTTAACACCGCACATGTGATGTCACGCATCAAGTGCTCGGCTGCTACTGCTAAATTAACTGACCATTTGGCAATGAAAATATCTTGTTCCACCTTTAAAATATTCCACTGAGAGGGATCCCTACAGAGTGTATTCTTTGTGGTTCATTTTCACCTGTAAATGTTTCTGTCTTCAGTTTCTTATCTTATCAAGGTACAATGACTTGATACTTTCCAAAGCAGCCTCCTTGTGTATTTCCCAAAGATTTTCTAATTATTTTACAAAGCCCACAGCCTGTTCACTCGTGTCTAATTCACACCAATTCCTTTTGTTTTTCTCCTATGAAAAGAAGTATCAGTTGACAGAATTAAGCTCTTTCTATTGCTCAGTGGACAGTCCTAAAACAATGTCCACTTCCTTCACCAACTGGACTATCACGTTGACCACTCCAAGTCCACGATGACCAAGGGGACAACTCAAGCCAGCTTGCTAGCCACTCACCCTCCGTGTCACAACTGACTGCTCTGCAAGGGTTGTCGATTTCTTTACTTTCCGCAGCTAACAAAACACCACTCCTAAAAATCTCATAGCGATTATGCAACCCCCGACTCCGTTCTATTGATTCTCTATAGGCCTGGCACTTAAAAGAACACAATATGACTAAGGCTATTCAGTGTATTGAAGCCATAAAAAGGCATATAACAAACACCCACTGCCCAATGCCCAGTGAAATTAACGTGCTGGCCAGGGCACCTGTATAGCGATAATGGCCCGTTATGTAATCAGCGCTGGCAAATAGGGTAATCATTTTTACAAAAACATCAGTTTCTATGGGCAGTGTACTTTACTATGTACTTAGCAGCCGAGGTGAAAGGACCTTCTCTTCAGCTTACACTTGCCCTGGGGATCCGACGGAAAAATAGGCTTGTCTATTCAAGCCTGGGTATTGCATTCTTTCAAGGAGCCATCGTTGGGGATGAAAAGACATGACTTGATGAAAAGGCTGATTATTATCAAGTACTCTTGGGGAGGCGGACAAAGAAGCGGAGAAAAAATTGGTGGGTTTTTCAGCTTGACAGACTGAAGGGAGTTGACATATTGAAAACAGCGTGAGGAGGCAGGAAAAGTTTTGTCTCCCTTTTTTGACGCTGTTGCACCGCTGTGGGATGTGCACTTAGTAAAAAAAAAGAACAACTACATGTGTTCTCCATGCTTATCAATAAAAAGATACACAGGGGCAGGGTGATATAAGAGTCAGGCCATTTTTTTTTTTTTTTTTTTTGTCAAATTGCTCACTTGCTACGGAACATACAAGCAAGGAGACAAGCAAGGTTATTTTTTATATAGGTAAACATTTCCATAAAGTTTCCTTTGATAAGTTATCATTATAATTGAGAAATATATGGAAAATTCTCCTGGAAGAAAATTTGAAGGAGGTTTAGATGAATTGATTAAAGACAAGATCTTTTACTTTATATTTCACATTGCAACTGACAAAGGAATCTTTATAATTTTTTTTTCATTAAGTCATAATTTATCTAAAAAATTGAATCTAAATGAATCATGTTCTCTCATAATATTAAATAGCAAGTGTTTTAAGTTGCAAATACACTAATTAATTGCACAAAATTATTAATAAAGCACACATCTCTTATATGATAATAGAAAAACCTTCCATTTCTTGCAAATATCGCCACCATCAACTAATTACTTCTTTTATTACTACAAACATATTACATAATTCTCTAGAGGTAACAGAACTTGAAATATTCCACACAATACGCTTAAATAATTCATTCGTCTGGTGTTTCATTTAAATGGATCTTTCATGTGGAGATTAGTCGAGCAAAAAGATATGGCAGTTAAAATAACACAATGGTCAGTAGCCCTTTTTCCATTTATCCAAATCATGTATTGATTTTTTCCAAACTGACCAACTCATCTGAAAATGATTTTTTTATAGGATTTTGCCGCTGCCTTGCAAAAATAACATAAACTGATTAGACTAAGTAAACCCTGAGATGAAGACAAAATTTATAAAAGCTGATGAAATAATCGTATTAGCAACGGAAAACTGATGGCTTTGCAGACTCAACATATATGTTGATATTTTTGTGGAAAGAAAGATGGAAAAATTACAGTAAAAATGTAACCTATTTAAAGAAGTGACAATTACTTCTCAACATAATAATTAAATAAGTAAACAAAAAAAAAAAAAAATTACACCAGTCATCCATATTGTCTAATCTGTCATGCAGCCAAACTTATTAGATAAAATCTTTCTGCAGCCTCCTTCAAGACAAAAACATCATCTTACGCAGCATTTTGATCAATATCTGTAATTTGTTGGCAATAATGACTTTTTTCTTTTGATGCAGTTGGATAACAAAGATCTGCTGCCAAATGGACTGGTCCATTTCTAATGAAGGGGGGAGAGGAGGTTCTGATATATGATATATATTAGCCAGATACACCACAAAATACAACCCTAAAGCAACCCTAAAATCCGTCCCCTATCCACTAAACAAAACCAATCTCTTTCACCGGAAAAGAAATTCAAAAGTGATCTCGGTGTAAAAGTATCTTTTTTTAGCCCAGATATATCAATTACTGTGTACATGTCCAAGACTCCCTCCTTTCAAATTCCTTTGCATTTTTACTTTTCCATCTACCTGTAAGTATCTTTTTGTTAGAGGTGCTAACTGAAGCAAAAAAGGAGGGGATTTTTCTTTTCGATAAGGAGGTCATTTACATCCGACAGTCTCAGTCCAAGATCATTACTGATAAAAAATCGCCAGAGGGGGTGGGGGGTGACAGGAGTCAATTGATATCAGCCCTTAATGAACTTAACACGCATAAATGTCAAGTGGTTCACTTTTTTTTTACTGTCAAAAAGATTTAATTAAGAGGTACTATGATAGCTTGTGGGCATGCTTGTATTTTCTAATTGGCAAAATTACGTGGTTTGTCACTAGATACTCCTGCTACCCATTCTTATCTCTGGTTCTTTTTCGGATAAGAAAATGATAAGTATATCATGATTTAATTAACATCAGTATCATTTATTAAATGGTAACTATACTCAATCTTTTCAATGGGGGGAAAATTGTGAATTTTAGAGATACTGTGTTTTTATGTCATAATTTCTTAATATTAGAACATTCCTATTGAGGGGAAGCAACAACATTAAAAAGCAGGCAACTCTATAGTTATTCTCTATGCAGTAAAAGAACCACAAAAATGCTTTATAGAAATATAAATTTATGTTTATAAAATTATGTCTCAGAAAGTTGGATAATTTTTGTCCACTGAAAAGATTGAGTCATTATCCTACATTCACTTGCAATAACGAAAGAGCACCTATACTCAATCAGTCGCCACATAGCCTGTATTATCAACCTAAGCCAAATCCAGATTCTCGGCTTAACCTAGCTTGCCTAAGTCTTGGATCATTTTATATTGCTGTTATGTATACGTATATGCATGTATGTTGTACTTGTTGGGTCAAAGCAATCATATAAAATGTACTAATAAATAAATAAATAAATAAATAAATAAATAAATAAATCTGTTCATTTCCATCACAAATCTTCTTTAAAGATACAATCAATATTGTCAAAAAAATTATCCTGTAGAGTGTGGCATTACAACATTGTAAGTTAGAAGTGTCAAAATGTCACTATATTGTCACCACAAAAGCACTTACAACAAGAAAAAAAAACCTTGTATATGTGTATGTACAGATATATAAGACAATTATATTCTCCATTTCCAGATTGCTTTATTGGACTTGCATCATGGTTCAAGCAAAAAACAAAAGGCCACATCATGCTCTTCTCCACGGCATGCATTTGTGCGTGTTGTAACTCTACATATGCATGGTGAGACCTAATGTTTTCTGCTTGGTTAAAGTATATATATGTATGATACAGGTGAATGACTGTTATATTGTCACTAACCACTTCTCCAATGACCATAAATTTGATGGCCACTTCTGTGCCTTTCCCTTACTCACTTCTTTAATTTTTTTTTTACATATCTACTCAAATTTTCAGAGTTGAACAAATATTTCTTTCTATCCCTTTTGCCTGTCGCCTTTTGTGGAAATAAACTCATCTCAATAAAATAACTTCCCTGACCATATAACTTCTTTCCACGCCAATCCTGCCATCAAAATTGATTTTACTTGAGGTTTTTGTTAAAAGAATTCTGAAGTGTCCAGCCCTAACGACATTTAAATCTTCAGCTGTTACGTTCACAAATGACTTGGCGTCCCCTTTATGCATTTTTCACGCCTAGTTCGACAAGAGGTATTGACCAGTGTCGTTTCCTTTGTGAAGCAGTATCAAGTATTATGTTTTAGTTTCATATGGTAACCCTATAGGGCTGACAAATATATGTTTGTTCTTTCCAAGTAAATATGTACTTGTACTTTTTATTATGTAACCTCAAAGGGCAAGGTCAAATGCCTTTGTGCAGTTCTGCTCCATCATCATACATCAGTTATTAGACATGTGATATCGACATTTATAACGTATGCAGTCATGTGTTTTCAAACTTATCATTGATTTGTAGCTGGTCATGTAAAATATGTTGGATGTTTTGTAAAATCATTATTTCTCCCTTTTCTTATTGAAGTTCCCATTTTTCTCAGTAAAGTATAATTACCGCATAGACCAAAATGCATTCCTTTGATTACAACCAATTTCAGCAAGATTGCAAAAAGTTAAATTGCTTCTACTTTTAAAAACATTTTGATGTACCTATTAAGCCTGAGTAAGAGGTTACAACACATAGTGAATTATCTACAAGAGTGAAAGAAAGTCATTTTTCTTCCCATAAATTTGAATATTGATACAATGTCTCATGTTGATTGAACCTTCAAAACACGAAACAAATACTCTGCAGTAAAAAAAAAGCCCTTATAGTCAGCCCTCTTCTTGTTCTCATTCCTTATTTCCCTATGAAGAAATTTATGACAGGCTGCATATACCAAAACTTAATATAACACATCAACAAAGAACCAGTTTTATCATGTCACCAACTTGAGTTTCCTGAATATTTCATACGAACCACCTACTTTTTATGACAATTTTTACACTCTGTTTCATAGCGGTAATGTTTCTTTACATCCAGCACTCACTATGTATGTAAAAATTACCTCCTAAGTAAGTTAATAATGTATGCTGTTAGATAAACTGCAATGTTCTTATTGGCATCAGAACTCAATTATTCATATCTAAGATAATCGTAATGTCACATACAATTTTTAATTGTTGGTTTACATTTCCACATGCAGGTTTTGGTGCAAATAAAATCAATTGCGGAACATGGCATCATAAAAATGTGCACACAACAATGCAACAGTTGTTGCATATATTGTCTGAAAAATGTTACGAAGAATGACACCAGCACTCTCAGAAGCCCTGACATTGTTTTATTTGAGTGTATGGCGAGCAGTTAATTATTTCATTTTAGAAGTTCTGGTTGGTATA